ACAATGATATTACGCAGCGCCTGAAAATAGTCCCCAGCTAGGTAACTTCCAATAAGCCTATTTCAGGCGCTGCGTAAAATATCATTGCGCCTGCTGCACCCATGGTACGGCAGCAAAGTTTCTTGATTATTACGCCGCGAGATGCTAACGGTCTAATCAGATTCAATGATCTACGCTAAGCTACAGCTAAAAGTGCTACCGCCACACCCGGAGATCAGCTGAATGGATTCGAAAACGGTAAAACTGAACTGTTTAACTCTAGGGGAGTTGGAGAATGAGCCTATTTTCAAAAATAGTGGAGTGTTCCTTTAAGTGTGCACTCAACTGTGCCTTTATTTGGTTATCTGTGACATATCATTATATTGAAATGTATTATTTTATGTATATTATTTAAAAAAAAAAGTATATTACATGTTTGTTTAAATAAAATTAATAAAAATGTTTCTTCAAAGATGTGTTATTTGTGTGTGATATGATTTATCAGATTTAATTTATCTGATTAAAAGACACTTCAAATGTAAAATGTTTTATTAATTTGAATACACAAATACTGACATGAGTACACACACACACACAGGACAATATCAATATGAAAGAATGGGCCCATGTAATTGTCACGCTCGCTGGTGGAAGATCAAGCGCACAATGCAGGAGATGAGTAACACACAGTCTTTAATAATAATCCACAGGAAGCAATAGGGAATTCAGGAGGAAGGCAAACCAACGACATGTAAACAAACAATAGCCAGCAACTGAAGGAACAGAATGGGGAGACTTTATACAAACACAGATGAGGGACTAATAACAATTAATTGAACGGGTGAAACATAATCTGGGTCAATGACCATAACAAGGCGGGAGAACAGGGAAACACAGAAAACAGAAACGGTCTATAAACATGACAGTAATATATACTTTGGCTCAGTCGAGAGGTAGCGGGATCGATGCCCGCATTCTCCAACGCTTTTAGTAGGCAAAAACCCGGAAGTGACTTAGCATCTGCAATTCATCAACTGCCCGCTAGAGGCTGGCTCCAAAAGGAAGTCAGTCCCATAGACTCCCCATGTTAAAATGCCCAAATTTACAGCAGAAAAAAATATGTTTACAGCCTGGTACAAAAAGTGGTTTTGGTCTATATAGCTAATTTTACCCTTCATGACTACTGTGAGGGGGGGTGAATTTTTTATAACTCATCCGTTTAAATTATTTGAAGCTTTAAATTTCTGCATAATTAAGGGCGTGGCCACTTGAGTGACAGGTGGATTGCCACTGCTGTCACTACCGTCGAGCTAGGTGGGCGTGGTTTCAGCAACCAGCTCCTGCCTCTTTGCCCATTTTCGCTTATCTGGGAGTGACGCGCTACCAAGATGGCGATGGCCGGCTCCGCCTACTTTAGGCTTGAGAAACGCTCTTCGGAAACCTACGGTCACGGTGCGTGTGGAGAGATGAAGCGAGGACTCAAGTGCACTCCCGTGATGGCTGACAAGGCTGCAGCCCCCTTAGCTGGGGAACGTGCCAAGAACTCCACAAACCCCTCAAAGGATACATGATCGCATCCTGACATGCTCCGGTGACTAATGGGCTCATCAAGGGCATAACTGAATAAGTCCTTAAGAGCGGAGTCATTGTAGCCCAGACCCTCTGCAGCATTCCTGAACTCCATGGCAAACTCCCTCAGATCAGTCCCTCGTTGACGGAGGGAGCTCAAGGTATCCAGCTGGAGCATGCGCTGGTAGAGGGGGCTGGAGAGAGTGGAGACCGGTAGATGGAGTGAGCCATTTCTCCGCTGAGTCCTCATTTTGGCTGATCCGTTCTGTCACGGTGCATGTGGATAGATGAAGCGAGGACTCAAGTGCAGGATGAATGGTTCTTTCTTTTAATGCACCAAACAAACACAACACAAGCCATGTGCTCACAGAAAACAGTGTCATCTGGTGGCCATCCTGGGCACACCCGCTGAAGACTGTGACACCTACGGGTGACGTCACGGACACTACGTCCATGTTTTTATACAGTCTATGGTCCCAATGTGTATACTATCCATCCTAAATTCTGTGATATTAGTAATTGTCAATACTATTTAGGGCAGATAAGTTGGATAGTATGCACATTGGGACGCAGGGATGTTTTTTTTTATGGGATTTTGGTTAAATCCCTTAAATAATGTCCGTGGTAAACACAAGCTCAAGACACTTTCACGTTTT